TTTCTGGGTAGTAAAAATAGCTACAAACTATGCACACAACTGCACCTACCTTTACACTTGGATGACACTTGTAATATCTATTTAGCGTGTCATCAAGCTGGTCCTTATCGCTCGATGCCATGTTTTTAAGTTGATATTGATTAGTTGATATTCAATTAGTATGTTAGAAAATTTCTTGTTAATTCCAGTTATTTATGTAAAGTAGCTGCAGAAAAAGATAATTAAATTGACGATATTTAAATAGATGGTATATTAGCGTAGAATCAGAAGGAATCTGCAACATTAACTTATGTTGTTAATTATCTGAGCTTTATGTTTTTAATTATCAAAATTATGTATTACGTCTCGATAAAGTTTACCCAGGCAAGATCGACATAAAGACACCGAAAATTTGTACGTCTTTATTACTAACTTCATGGAAGAGTTTTCAAAAAAGTCTTCTCACGAAGTTGAGCGGTAGAGGCAGGCAAAATTGGTTAATAATGTAAAAATCACAACTGATTCGCGAGCGCGTACTAGACGTTAAATGAATCCGCTTGTACGAACGTCAGCAAAAGCGAAGTGCATTACGTCCACGTGCCAAATTTCCCTAACTAGTAGTGAGTCCTTTTATTGCAAATCGAATAACAATTAACGAATACAATAATAACACAGGTATACAAATAATAGGTCATTTTCTATATCACAAGCCAGCTATGGTATTTCTGAAGGATTTTGGTGCGCTGAATCCAAATCTGACCTCAGAATTGCTCGATTACGTCAGGTTTTTAAGATATCCTAGCCTTAAAAGTGAAAAAACACTGTTTTTTGACATACTTGAAGTTATGTAACACTGTAAATAAGTTTTTTTACAAAAAAATATTTAAAGTATCTTAAAGTACAAATCATCCTCTATCAAATGCAGTTGAGTTTGCCCAAATTTCTTTTTTTTATCGCCGAGATATCGCATTTTGAAATTTTTATATTTATGAATTTTTCAAAATAAAATCGGTATACATATATTATCGCTATACAAAACGAATTCAATCAAAATTTATCTGAAATCAACAATATTATGCCAACTCCGTAAATTTCTTGGCACTAAATCGTGGTACAGGAAATTTAGCAGAAATTATGTAAATATCGTGAAACCATTAACGGATTTAACAAAAAAACGTACAATTCACTAAGAGCATAACAACGCATTTCGTGTAGTAATTCAAACATTAATAACAGTACCAGTAGTAAAAAAAACATTTAAAGTAATAACCGACCACGCAGCACTTTAATAGCTATTCAATAAAAAGCATCAAACAGGAAGATTAGCAAGATGGATAGATAAATTCATAAGTTACGATTTCAAAATAATCCACAAAAAAGGAAAGAACACCGTAGTATTGGACGCTTTGTGTAGATTATTTGAAAAAGATGTGAAATGAAACATTTGCGCACTCGAAATAGCAAATGAAAACGATAGTTTATACAATTGCGAAGTATAAAGATATCCACACTGCCATAGAGTCTACAAAATAACAGAAGGAAAATTATATATTTACAAAGAAAATAAAATCCGCAAAGAACACATAGATGACCTTGACGATTGGAGAATAGTAATACCTAAAAGTAAAACGGAGGATATAATCAGAGAATCGCTCGACGATCCAAGGCAGGCCACACAGAAATCGACAGGACATACGCAAAAATAAAGAATAACTATTATTGGTCAGGAACATATAGACACGCGAGTACACATACGAGAATGCATAGTATGCCAAGAATGTTATAGTATGTTAATAAATACATAATAAAATAGGAGGAGCCGTGACAGCAGTAAGCATGTGTAGTAGAATACGAATTTTACAAACGCGAGTGATGCACAATGACAAAATCAGCTAACGCCCGAAAAAAAAGATATAAAATAAGCCTTAATTATATTATTATAAAAAAATGCGCCATGCATCACACAAAGAAGAACACGAAACACACGATTACAACGCCACAGCGAACATAACCAACAATGTGAATATGAGTAGCAGGAATAACAACATAGTGACAATCAATACAACAATAACACGACAATTTAATAACGCACCAACGGATAATCCCAGGGACTGGATACTATGACCGAGAAGAAAATCAAAACCTGCAATTTTTCATAAAAAGAAAAATGAGACAAGGTCTAGCTAAACCAGAAGAAACGAAAGAGCTGCTGAGAGAAGTGATCGAGGACGAATACGAAGAAAGAATGTACCAAAAGCAGCTGAAACAACTAGAAAAGGAAAAGGCAAAAAAGATACTTAAAAAATTTTTTGGAAGTTATATGTAAACGGGACGCAATGATTTTAGACAATTATATAATTAATAATTTTTTCAGATGTTTCTTTTCAACGAGATCATTATAAATTTTACAATTTTTCTATATTCTCTTAACCTATGTAAAATAAATATTTCTTTGTATTATTAGAATTAAGAAACAACTAAAAAAAATAATAATAAACATATGTATAAATAGCATTGTAATTATTGTAGCTGAGCGCACTTATTATGAGAGAGAGAGAGTACCTAGTCACGGTTCTAGGTCTTTTTGGCTGTTACCCTGTGTTATTTTACAAATCCAGATTTACTTGTTCATTTGAAAAAAATTGGTTTGAAAGCTACTGGAACACTTCGTAAAAGGAGAATCAAAGAATAACATAGATAAAAAATCTCCAAGAGTACTTATTAAGTACAACACGATGGAAATAGTGGATTGAATTATATTACTGTTCTAGATTCAAAGCCAGTTTCTCTTCTTTCCACGGCAGCTGGTGTGTCGTCTATGGCATTAGTTTAAAGATATTCAGCGACAGCCAGTGGCAAAGTTGAAGTAAAATTTCCTTCAGTATTTTAAATTTACAATACATTCATGGGCGGTATTAACTTACATGATTTCAGATGTAAAAAAGTTGCCCCCTGTATAAAATCTAAAAAGTAGACATGATCTGTTTTCATTCGAATTTTGCAAACATCTTTTGTAAATGCAATGGTACTCAGGAATGTTTTGCAAAAAAAGTGAAAAAAAAATGCAAGCACGAGAATTATGAATTGAAATAAGTAAAATATATTGTAAAAAATTGAGTTTAAGAGATTTTAATTGTGAATCTTACAAGCTTACATCGCAAAGAAGACAAAATTGTTCATTTTCAGATTGCACATTGAGAACAATACGATATAGCTTGAACTGTGAAAAATACTACTACGTTAACTGCTTCGACATTTTGCATATAAAAAAGGAAAGTAATACGTGGTGTGAGTTGGGCAACGTATTAGTAAGATATAGCGAACAGACAAATTCAGTAAGATGAGAAAACATTATAAGACCAAAAAACTTTGACGCGATAGTATTCAGACTGAATTGGAATGAATTATATGTCTGCATCGATATTAATGAAATTCGTTACTTTGAAAATTTAGTGTTGCATATTGCATCCGTCATCATGAATCTAATAAATCTAAGCCATTATGATGACTTTACAAATCTCTGAAAACCATTATAAGCCTAAATCCGTTGAATTTTGATAATTTCATCCGTCATATTGGATTCACCATCTTAGATTTTACAAATCTGACTTCAGATTCGTGATCAGCGATCCCAAAAATCCGTATATACCGAATTTAGTGTAAATTAGTTGATTTTTGAAAAATCGCCATTTTTTCACTAGTTTTGGCGGCCATATTGAAATCGCCAAATTGAAATCGCCATTATGAAATTTGTCTAACTATCGGTTCTATTATTTAGATCAACACAATATGTCACCGAATACAGAGTTTTAGCACACTTAATGAATGTGTACATGTTCAAATATATTATTATTTACAAAAATTAAGATTTCATTTTTCAATTTTTTGTCTTTAAGACGCAATATTTAAAAATGGCGGCCTGATGACATTAATCTGAGGTCATATTCCAAAAGAGCATGGAAAATTACTTTAGGGTTTATATTTTGAGAAGCTCTGGGAAACTTTTTCCTAACAAAAATTCACTTAATTTTTGAAGTACGTAGTACTTCGAAAATACATGGAATTTATGCCATTTAAGGCATTTAAGGGTTAAACTTTTCTACAAATATTGAAAGAATTTCTTTATGTAAAGAAATACTTACTTTTATAAAGTTAAATTAGACAATTATCTTTTTCGTTTCATTTCATTTAAATGCTTTATTGTAACAAATCTTTTACTGTAAACTTTCTATAATTAGTGAAAATAATTAGTGACTACAAGAAAATAAGTCATAGCCCTATAAAACTTATTTTTAACAAAGTTGAAGTAGCCTGTGAACTTTTATTTGATTTTATAATTGAAGCAATAAAACTTGAAACTAAAGATATACATCATGCAATCCAATACAAAATACTTACGATATATCAGTGAAAAAATCGGTTTTAAAAATTGAAGGAAAGGAGAAAATGAAGTTATGCAATCTTTCATGACAATAAAAAAGATTATATTAATAAATCATGTAAATTTATATGCAGCAATATGTCCTTAGATTTTTTATTATTAGTAAAATTCATAAAGTAATAAATGTACCTTATTTTTGATGTCCTATATTTATGTAAAAATTCAATTATACATTATTTTGTGAACGAATTTCTAATATTAAAGGCCTGCTATTGTGAGAAGGTGATTATTTGCAAATCACGCAAAATAGTTTCGACGAATCTCATTTTTACGGAATAATAGGCACATATTTTATAATAAGTAATTCTTTTACGTGTAATGCGATCTCGTTATTCTCTATGTTTGATAAGGAGTGTAAGTATGAGAAATTTTCGTAATCGATAAAATTAATTATTTGATAGTAGTTAAATTATTATAATGTGAACATATGATATTTTGAATGATATTGGAAATTTTTATGGTGATATGAAAATTATAACGGAAAATTCAATTGAAAACAAGTTTTATTATTGTAGTTTTTCTAAAAATCTTATCTGTTTAATATATCTGTTTAAAATTTTCATTGAATATTATTTTTCAGGTATATGCTATGGATGTTTTGATCAGTTCTGGAGAAGGAATAGGAAAAGAACAAGACACTAGAGCAACCATTTTTAAAAAAACCGAAGAAACATATCAGTTAAAATTAAAGGCATCTCGGATGTTCTATTCAGAAGTATCACATAAGTATGGTTTGATGCCATTTAATCTACGTACATTTGAAGATGAGAAAAAAGCAAAAATGGCCGTGGTTGAATGCGTGAATCACAGGTTAATCGAACCTTTTCAGGTACAATAATATTACGCTATTTTGATAATTCTACTATATGTGGATAAGTAGTTATTTTCTGTATCTCCGCCTACTTGTAAATAAGGTGTAATATCTACTCGTGTGTGCGTATACTTAGCCATATATATTAGTATATACAATACTGTGACGAGGTAAGATGTTTGGTGGGCTGCGCGGTGCAAAGGCTTTCTGGTAAGTCTCTTCATGTGCATTCGGATCAGCATGAGCTATTATTATTATTATGGCTACTATCGCCGCGTCATGTATAATGGTTCACACTTTAGCGGCGCTCAAGTGCGATTTCCGTGGGCTATCCTCGCTGGCAATCAAACAATCAAAGGTCAAAGATAAGGTCACTGTAACATGCTCTCAGTAGAATTTAATAAATTTAGCCCGAAACATTTTGTAAATGTTTCGCGATTAATATTGGATCTAAATTTCACATGACCTTAGCGATGAACGTCGTGGATCAATCGAAACTCAACATAATACCTTATCCAAACGTCGGATTTCATGAGTATGAAGTTCCGAACGTTCGAGTTGAACGAAAATTTTAAATTTCGAAATCAGCGTTTAACTCGATATTTATTGAATCAATATGGTACAATAACGATATATTAACTAGAAAAATTGTCCAAACTTAATTACAACCCTTTAAAACTACCCTTAATTATTATGCCACTGTCTCTCCCATACCTACCTATACAGCAAGTCATTACACAAATATTAATGAGCAAGCGATTAGGTACGTCATCTATTATAGTGTTGCGAAAAACTACAAATAGTTTGAGTGTTCGGAAACTACCCTCAGTCACCCCTATGAGGTAAAGTAGCCTCTCAGGCGAAAAATTGAGTATTTCGCCCACAATTTCTTTTTACACGAATATTATACTCAAAAACATGATTGGCATTAATTATTATATCCTATAGTATAAGTATAAAAAAGACGAGCGTGTGGAACTACCCCCAGCCACCCCTACGTCCATTTGAATATAGCCGCGCGAGCAAAATTTCCAGTTATACGTGCATAATTTGTTATTAGACACTTTTATTTTTATAATTGATTTTTCTCGTTGCGTATTGTGTCACTGGCAATCAGTGGATGCAATGCGCGCTTGCGAAACTACCCCTAGCCACCCCTACGTTCATTTGAACATAGCCGCGCGAGCGAAATTTCCAGTTATACGTGCATAATTTGTTATTAAACACTTTTATTTTTACAATTAATTTTTCTCGTTGCGTATTGTGTCACTGGCAATCAGTGGATACAATGCGCGCTTGCGGAACTACCCCTAGCCACCCCTACGTCCATTTGAACATAGCCGCGCGAGTGAAATTTTCAGTTATACGTGCATAATTTGTTATTAAACACTTTTATTTTTACAATTGATTTTTCTCGTTGCGTATTGTGTCACTGGCAATCAGTGGATACAATGCGCGCTTGCGGAACTACCCCTAGCCACCCCTACGTCCATTTGAACATAGCCGCGCGAGTGAAATTTTCAGTTATACGTGCATAATTTGTTATTAAACACTTTTATTTTTACAATTAATTTTTCTCGTTGCGTATTGTGTTACTGGCAATCAGTGGATACAATGCGCGCTTGCGGAACTACCCCTAGCCACCCCTACGTCCATTTGAACATAGCCGCGCGAGTGAAATTTTCAGTTATACGTGCATAATTTGTTATTAAACACTTTTATTTTTACAATTGATTTTTCTCGTTGCGTATTATGTCACTGGCAATCAGTGGATGCAATGCGCGCTTGCGAAACTACCCCTAGCCACCCCTACGTCCACTTGAACATAGCCGCGCCAGCGAAATTTCCAGTTATACGTGCATAATTTGTTATTAAACACTTTTATTTTTACAATTAATTTTTCTCGTTGCGTATTGTGTTACTGGCAATCAGTGGATACAATGCGCGCTTGCGGAACTACCCCTAGCCACCCCTACGTCCATTTGAACATAGCCGCGCCAGTGAAATTTCCAGTTATACGTGCATAATTTATTATTAAACACTTTTATTTTTACAATTAATTTTTCTCGTTGCGTATTGTGTCACTGGCAATCAGTGGACACAATGCGCGCTTGCGGAACTACCCCTAGCCACCCCTACGTCCATTTGAACATAGCCGCGCGAGTGAAATTTTCAGTTATACGTGCATAATTTGTTATTAAACACTTTTATTTTTACAATTGATTTTTCTCGTTGCGTATTGTGTCACTGGCAATCAGTGGATGCAATGCGCGCTTGCGAAACTACCCCTAGCCACCCCTACGTCCACTTGAACATAGCCGCGCCAGCGAAATTTCCAGTTATACGTGCATAATTTGTTATTAAACACTTTTATTTTTACAATTAATTTTTCTCGTTGCGTATTGTGTCACTGGCAATTAGTGGATGCAATGCGCGCTTGCGGAACTACCCCTAGCCACCCCTACGTCCATTTGAACATAGCCGCGCCAGTGAAATTTCCAGTTATACGTGCATAATTTATTATTAAACACTTTTATTTTTACAATTAATTTTTCTCGTTGCGTATTGTGTCACTGGCAATCAGTGGATACAATGCGCGCTTGCGGAACTACCCCTAGCCACCCCTACGTCCATTTGAACATAGCCGCGCGAGTGAAATTTTCAGTTATACGTGCATAATTTGTTATTAAACACTTTTATTTTTACAATTGATTTTTCTCGTTGCGTATTGTGTCACTGGCAATCAGTGGATACAATGCGCGCTTGCGGAACTACCCCTAGCCACCCCTACGTCCATTTGAACATAGCCGCGCGAGTGAAATTTCCAGTTATACGTGCATAATGTGTTATTAAACACTTTTATTTTTACAATTGATTTTTCTCGTTGCGTATTGTGTCACTGGCAATCAGTGGATACAATGCGCGCTTGCGGAACTACCCCTAGCCACCCCTACGTCCATTTGAACATAGCCGCGCGAGTGAAATTTTCAGTTAGACGTGCATAATTTGTTATTAAACACTTTTATTTTTACAATTAATTTTTCTTGTTGCGTATTGTGTCATTGGCAATCAGTGGATGCAATGCGCGCTTGCGGAATCATCCCCAGCCACCCCTACGTTCATTTGAACATAGCCGCGCCAGCGAAATTTCCAGTTATACGTGCATAATTTGTTATTAAACACTTTTATTTTTACAATTAATTTTTCTCGTTGCGTATTGTGTCACTGGCAATTAGTGGATGCAATGCGCGCTTGCGGAACTACCCCTAGCCACCCCTACGTCCATTTGAACATAGCCGCGCCAGTGAAATTTCCAGTTATACGTGCATAATTTATTATTAAACACTTTTATTTTTACAATTAATTTTTCTCGTTGCGTATTGTGTCACTGGCAATTAGTGGATGCAATGCGCGCTTGCGGAATCATCCCCAGCCACCCCTACGTCCATTTGAACATAGCCGCGCGAGTGAAATTCCATAGTATGTATAAAGTAAAAAGTATGTTATTTTTAAAATTGTTGACATTCAATATAAATATATCATTTCTATGTGTTATGTGATTAATAAATATATACATTTATATAGGGGTTTTCCATATCCATCAGCTTCTTCTCTGCATTACTTTGGGCTTGAGACCATCATAATAATATTTAATAATTACTATAATATTATGGCTGTATTAGAAGCTGTTGATATACCTCAGTATTGATACTGATTACTTAATTTACGCTTAGGCGTAATACTTTGATTAATATATTTCAGTCTTCGGACTGATTATTCATGTTACAGTTTTTTTACGTATTATATAACTCACCTGTGTAGCATTTCATTATACAAACCACCAAGTATTTTATTATTTCTTTCTTGAATTTCTTTATATGTTATATAATACAGATATTTTTTATAAAATGCAGTATTCTGAATATTTGAACTCTGCAGTTTCGATATATTTCAATGTATAAGATTTTTAATCTCTATTGCATTAAAAAGAAGTTTTCTTCTATATAAGATGATGCTTCTACATCTTAACGACTTCAGCGCATAGTATAATGAGGTGACCTTAAGTTTTATAATCATGAATTGTGTTTTTAAATCTTAAATATTTTTGAAATATTTTTTGCATAGTCGACATATAAATGATTCGTATTGTTCTACTTTTCTTTTAGTTTTTATTTTTTTTAATTGCTTCATAGCTGAAGCATTCTCTTCGTCATCAGTAGTAACATCCGAATGTCGTATGCATCGTTTTTCACATGTGCGGTTACAGCTTCTGCATTTTACTGATTGTGAGTCAGATCTAATACATGCAAAGCAATACATACAGATGTTCTCCATACTTTCAGACGATAACAGAAGTCTATTTGCGACCTTTAATCTAAATTCGTCAGGATTAAATATTCTTTGAAAATCTGTCTTATAACCCAAACATTCGAGGTAATATATCACATATGATCCACAGCTGTGACCGTCATTGCAATCTTGATATGGACGATTGTCAATGTTCAATTTTTTCCATTTTATCTTTTGTAACTGGGTGAATGATGAGTTCGAATTTTGAATAAAATGTTCAAATGCTTTTATTGCTCTCACTTCATCATTACCTTGTCCATATGGATCCAAGACACATGCTGTTTCTTCGTTTATATTTGCAACGAACAATTGCCAGTGACTATTGAGTAAATAAGGCATCAACAATAAATTTTTTATAGGAAATTTAATTCGACACATTCGTCTATCTGTACATGTTCTTCTTCCGCTGTATTCGCCCAGTATTATCGATGTATTGTCTGTAGATATATATGTTACATCTTTCCATTCATCTATGCATGTAGCTATGTAGGAATCGATAACTGTTCCATTGATCCATATTTTCTTTCTTAGTGTATTAAATTCTTTAGCTCTTAGTTCATATGTATTTATTATAACTAAATTGTCGCTTCTGTATTTACTTACAGCTATATTACAAGAACGAGAGTTGAAGTAGTAATTCAAATCTTGTATAACTTTATTTCCAAACA